TGTTGAGTTGTGACTGTGCAGATATTGACTTCCTGGTCTGAAGATCTATTTTCTGTATTCTAAAGTCCTACCTACCAAGGCTATTGGTAAAAGAACAAGTGACTTGTGCCAGAACTTTAAAATGTATTTAGAGGATGCTGCATTTTGAGTTAAGCGGAAATATATTCTAAAACTCTTTTCATTTAAAAAAGTTAACTCATCTGCCAAAGTTTTAATCACTTTGAAAGATGAATTTTCCCAGAAAAATTTCAAATGCTAACATCTGTCCAAATCCCTGTTTGGCAATATGTGCACACGGTCTGACATTTGTTCTGGTTCCGCTTGGTTTTAACTTTACAGCCCCCTGGAAACCAAACAAGAAATTAGTGATTTTTGCCAGGTATGAGGAGCTAGATTTGACAAAACATCTGTTCCAACTTTTGCTTGTAGCAAGTTACATGCTCTGGATATAAATATAATTCACTCCAGTTGTTTTATTACAGTCAGGTAACTAGGGGTCATTTTCCACTCTCATTCCACGAGTGACAGCATGTGGTTTTATCTGTACTGTAATGTATTTTTAACACTGGGTATTAACAGTGGTTTTGTGATGCAGCAGTGTATGTTTTGTGGACATTCTTGTTTTCTACCATAAAAACTGGTAGCTGTTGGAATCCAGCACTGACTGTCATGATAATACAAGAAGCCAAGATTTTTTTTAATTTAATATAATTTAATTCAGTTAATCTTTCTATGTGGAATTGAATTATGGTGTGTCTGTCCCTAGAGTGCTGCATTTACACCACAGGGAGAAAGCTGGAGGTTATTTCGGTTGGTTTTTATCCAGTAGCAACTGCTTTAGTGCATCCGTAACAACAGATTCAAGGAGCTGTTTGCTTTGCTATTTATAGCACATGGTTAGCTAATATGCGTCACTAAGTTAAAACTGAGAGAAGTATATGGTATCCATCATTCTTAATTTCACATTGAATATAACTGAAACATTGCTTTTGATTTACAACTTACATATTATTTAAAATTAAAAAAACCCATGAAAATGGCATGGCCATTGGTACCATTAACTTATAATTTTGTAGCACAGCCTTTGGAGGCAATAACTGCAAGAGCTTTCTTAACTCTGACTATATGGTTTCTACACAACTGCTTTTTCATCTTTTTTCACAGATGTTCAATTGGATTCAGATCAGGTCTCATAGCAGGCCACTTCAGAATGGTTCGATGTTTTCTTCTTATCCATTCTTGGGTGCTTTTTGATGTAACAGTATGTTTGGGGTCATTATTCTGTTACAAGACCCATGACCTGTGACTAAGACATAGCTTTTTGACATCAGGCTGTGTGTTTTGCCCCAAAATGCCTCGATATTCTTCTGATTTCATTGCGCCCTGGACAGATTCAAGGCAGCCAGTGCCTGAGGCAACAAAGCAACCCCAAAACATCACTGAGCCTCCTCCACGTTTCACAGGCATGGTGTTCATTTCTTTGAAGGCTTTTTTTTTTCTAAACATAAACTAGGGTTGGTGTGATTTACCAAAAAGCTCTAATTTTCTTTCATCTGTCCAAAGCAAATTCTCCCAAAGGCGGCTTGTGAACATGCATTTTGGCAAGTCCAGTCTGGCTTTTGTGTCTCCCTCTTAGAAGTGGGGTCCTCCTAGGTCCTCTACCATGGAGTCCATTTTCATTCAGGCAATGATTGTCAATGCAAGTTGAAACTTTTCAAACTTGAACTTGATCATCAGCTTGGATCTGTTTTTAAGTTTTCCGTGATTCATTCTTGACCATTCAAGCAGTGCTTCTGTTCAATCTCGGGCCAATTTTCCCCATGCGATCACGTCCAGAGATGTTGTCTACAGTCCCCTGGGCCTTAAACTTAATAATATTGGCAACAGTGGTCACAGGAACATATATACACATATATACTGGCTGCATGATGAGATTTAGAATATTGTAGTTAACGCCAATTTGCTTTGTAAAGATGAAGTGGAGTCATGTGTGTCCTGAGCAGAGAATGACGTTACACTCCCTTTGCCTGTGTTGCTATTGCAGCCTCAGTGTGCTCTTTCTGCACATGAGTAGACCAGCTAATTCTGTGAAATAAGGATTTATTTAAACCAAATGAGCATTGGTAATTGTTAGAGAGATTGTGGAAAGACTAACAAAGACAGTTTTGGTGCAATACCCAGTGGCAAGTGAATTTTGTGTATATATAACCTTTAATTAGACCTGCTATAGAACTTTCTTGTGAGAAACAGAAACTCATGAAAATGTAAAATTTATATTTTAGGGGGGAAGAAGAAATTAGAAAGGATCAAATGCAAAATAACATACAGTTGTCTATGTACAAAGTTTCTGCAAGACACTGGTAATAATTATTAATAATTAACACTTATATCATCAACCCCCTCCTGTCTCCCTCACATCCTTATTCCTTCTGGCTCTTATCTTTTCCTTCCGTCATCCTTCATTTGTTCTTTCCCATTTTCTTGTCCTTCCACTTTTCCGCACTCCTTTCTCCTTTTATCTCATAGTGCAAGTTACTGTCAGTTCTTCACCTCGTTGTCATCACCTTTCTGCCATTACTCACTCCTGTATCACCATTAAAATGTTGCCCTGGCCTAGAGTTGCCATAGCAACACACTGACCTGGCCTAAGGCTGCGGAGGGCCAGAGGGGACAATCACAACAGAGGAGCATCATCAGTCATTCGCAGTAGACACACACACACACACACACACACACACACACATATACATTTCTGCATTACCAACAGTGGAGTATCAGTCTATACCCTTCTGTTTCTGGCCATTTTGAAACAAACAAAAATAGAATGTTTAAATAAATTACCTAGAGGGGACTTGTATACTTTAGCGATGTATAGATCTCTAGTTTTTTATAGGTAAATTTGTGTAATTCTCAGTAGAATGTACGTGTTACAGCAACATTCCTTTAAATACTGTTATGCATATATAGTGTACATGTATATCAATATTAAATCCTACCCTAGAACTAAAGGAAATTCACTAGTTTGCACATAGAACTAAAAGAGTATGTTGTGATTCAAAAGTCTAATCTCAGCAAACCAGACTGTACTGTTAAATATTAGATGACTGAAAAGAGAAAAAATAAAAACTGTAGCCAAAATTTAAATGGTTTCTCAAAAATGCAGCTGTCATTAAGTATGAGATTAGCTGGATACTGATAATACTTTTGAACACTTCATCCGTCCAAAATACCCCCTGATTATTCAAGACAAATGAGGGGAATACCGTTGTGCACCAAGCTTACTCGTTAAAACATGCCAGCCTGGCAGACACAGGACTGTACAGTCAAATAAGTGTGACTAACGACACATGACTCCTCTCATTCTCTCTTCTTTTCACTGCCTTTTTCCCTCCTTCTGCTCATCCTATGGTCAGTGCTTTAGTTTTGGTCTTGGAATTTGGTTGTGTGCCTCACCTTATTAAAACAAAGCAGGCAGCATGTTTGCACAGAGGACGGCATGGTCAGCTGAGTGTGAGTAACTTGCCTCTGATGCATGACTTTATACAATCCAAATAATGAGTCAATTAGAGTAAATTATACATGTTTAGGGCTCACTGCAATTAGTTCACCTCTCTCTTTTCCTGTCTGACTGGAGTCTCTGTCTCCCCCCTTTCCTGTCTCCTGCTCATCCCTTCCTCTCCCTCTCTCCCTTCCTCCATCATTCTGTCTCTAGTCTTTCTACCTCCTCTTCCTCTGCTCTCTCTCTCCTGTCTTTTTCCTTCATCTTCCTTTCTTTTTTCTCCTCTCCCTCTTTTTCTTCCTCTCACTGCCCACCCCTCCCTCTTTTTCTCTGTCCTAGTTCTCAGGGTCTCTTGGTGAAGCTTTGTCTAATTACCATGCTAGCATTTAATTGGAACAGCGTACACAAACACATGGACTGACTGACTGAATACCCCTTACATGTAGACACACTGCATAGTGCATGCACATATACACACACACACACACACACACACACACACACACACACACACACACACACACACATAAAAAGTTGAATTACATGCACACATTACACACCCTGCAAGTTAACATGCTCCAGTTATACAAATACACATAACACAACAGCGTACACCAGGGTTAGATATTGTGGAGTTCGTCCAGGTTGTACTACAGCCACTGTGCTGATGCCCCTTCTGTAGAGCTAAGGCGTGTTGGCTACAGTCATACATTGCTTTTGGCCCAGTTATACCATGAGCTGCTTGTTGCTGCTCCCACTGTAGAGCTGTGTCATCTAAGAAGTGACAACAACAGATGCACATTGGAGGGAAAATGCTAGCCAGATATCTAAATACCACACAGTCATTTTCACATATTTTTAGGTTTCTAACAAACCAAACATACACATCTTTGTAATTTTGTGGTGTTGGTGCTGATGTTCAATATTTGGTTAGTTTCCAGTGACTGTAAAACTATTCGATTCTTTGTTGATATTATAAATTATATTTGACATATTCACTGTAGTCTTATGTGAATCATCACATAATTTACCAGAACATTCAGGAGATATTGTTGAAGCATTCCAAACTTGGGGGTCAGGACTAACAAGGTGTCACAAGTTGATTAACTGCTTAAGAAAGAAGAAAAACACAATACTAATTTCTTTCTTTGCTGTTTTTTTTTAAATAGTGGATAGTTTTACCTCTTTTTGCAAGTAACAAATACTCAAATGGAACATTTTGAGAAGCCAAAAATTAATCTTTGATTAAACGTGCTTTTGTCTCATAGACATATGGGACCAGTGACGTTGGGTCACATATTGACATTGATTTGTTTTAAGGGGTCACATACCAAAAAGCATTTCAAAAAGAGTTTTCTACTGTTGAGTCAGTCAGTTGATTGATAAATTTGATTGTTTTTGGTTTTATTTTTTATTTTTCTAGTGGTCAAATGGTTACTGTTTTATTTTAGATATGATATAATAAAAACATTTTTTTTCTGTTTCTCTCTCTGTGTTTCAGTCCTTCCCAGCCATACATGTGGCACCCCTGGCCTCATTCCAAATGGAGTCATTCATGGCTCGCGGTACAACATGGGGGACAAGATCCGATACAGCTGTGAGTCAGGTTTTGTATTGGAAGGACACAGTATCCTCACGTGTATTGTATCACCTGGCAGTGGAGCACAGTGGGACTTCCCATCACCATTTTGTAGAGGTAAGGTAATTTTCTGTGTTTCTTTTTTTCATTTCTAGAAATGCCTGGTGGCAAGTAACATAAAACATGAGAAAATAAAATAATTGCTAGGGTCCTGAGAATTGAAGGACCTCAACCGCAGGTCACAGGCCAGACAAAGATGAGAAGCCCTGGTGCATTGATTACTGAACCAGATGGAGCCCAAAATCCTCGAGCAAAGCCCTTCTAATGGTTCATTAGTCTACAGACAAGAAGAGATCTGTCCAAGTTTTCATCATCAGGGCCAATACATGGTTGAACAGCTCAGCTCAGGGATTCAGTATCTTGTGATAAATATATTTAGTGTTTATCAGAGGCTTCAATTCAATTATTATCTGCTTGCTTGTTTCTTGTCAATTTGCCATTTCCTTTGCTTTCACATTAAGGTCAAGGGTCAAGGTTATCTGTATTGTCCCACAAGGGTAAATTTGTTATAGTATGCAGCAAGTGTTCACATAATGAGATTACAAAGGCCAACATCAACAATGACAGTGAATCTCATAGTTAACGCAAGGAAATTATACCAAGTAGAAATATGCAATAGTGCAAGTGTGAATGTGTGCCAGGGTAGTGTAAGCAATGCAGCCATTTAGTTTATTTATTAATTTCTCAGGGACAGTGCATATTAATAAACACAGCTGTAAATATACCAGAATTAGCCAAACGACTGTATTCCCTGGCCAGGTGTAAAAATTGTCTGCCTGAAATCAGTGTAAAATCAAGAAACAAGGTTTAAAGAAAAATCATGCTCTAAGACATGCTAATTCCAGGAAGACCAGAACATAGACAGATATAAGCAGAACACAGACATAGGCAACAATAAAAACAGTGTGAATTATGATTCAAAAGATAACATGGCAACAAATGCAAACGAGGACAAACATGAGTAAAATAAACAACAAAAGAAAACTACAGATCAGCTCCACAGCAACAGACATAAGTGAAGACAAATAAAAGCAGTAATCTCTCTGTTAAATGTCTGAAGATGTACCGATTAGGTATTTATGAAAACAGAATGATGATAGAAATGATGATGAGGATGTAGAAATGACAATATTGTTATTCTAGTTGTAATGTCATTATTACGTGCATCATTTAAATGTATCTAATAATAAATGAATCTAAGAGTTACACTGATCAATCATAACATTATGATCACTTGGGCACCTTGACTGGTCTGCAACTACACAACCTCATACGCAACAAACTGCGATGCACTGTGTCTTCTGACACCTTTCTATCAGAACAAGCATTAAGCCTTGGCTCTGGTGCCGGTTCACCGCTTTTCCTTTCTTGAACCACTTTTGATAGGTACTGACCACTGCAGACCGGGCACCCCACAACAGCTGCAGTTTTGGAGATTCTCTGTCATCTAGCCATCACAATTTGGCCCTTGTCAAAGTCACTCAATCCTTACAGTCAACCATTTTTCTGCTTCTAACACATCAACTTTGAGGACAAAATGTTCACTTGCTGCCTGATATATCCCACCCACTGACAGGTGCCATGATAACGAGATAATAAGTGTTAGTCACTTCACCTGTCAGTGGTCATAATGTTATGGCTGAATTGTGTATAGGCTATTGAACATACTATGAAAACGAAAAACACACCACAAGTGTGATTATCAAGATAAAATGTTGTTTTAATAGCACCTTTCATACCGAATAGTGCATTTTAAATGACTGACAAGCTGTTAATAAGACAGCACAAATATAAACAGTAAAACAATATACAAATATTGAGCACAGCAAATAAAAATTATAAAACGGAAATAATAAAAATAAATGAATAAATAAAAGAAAAAAACATAAAATGATATTTAAAATATAAAAAATACATATATATGTTGGATAGTTGCTATTTCTTCTCATTCTCTGTCCTCTTTGTGTCTCTTCAGCGGAGGGAGCATGTGGTGGTACTTTAAGAGGTACTGCAGGTTCAATAACCAGCCCTGGATACCCTGCAGAGTATGACAACAACCTCGACTGTACATGGTCAATCCTCTCTGAGCCCGGGGACACTATAGCTCTCGTCTTCAATGACTTCTTATTGGAGGACAAATATGACTTCCTGGAGATCAGCGGGACAGAAGCACCAAGCATATGGTGAGATACATTTCATTCACAGGCCACAATGTTAAGGAGATAGGTTGGCGAGCAGGCTTGACACATCTCATGCTAAGTGGGAGAATAGTGAAAGCAGACACACATGCAATTACATCTGACATTTGAGAAGTGAGAAGCATAGACATACCAACACACACAAAGTGGACACCATAGCCTTGTTCTATAAATTAACTGGGGACTCAATTTACTACTTTCCAAGAATTAGTAGCCCTTTATTGTTCTGTAAGCTGACTTGTTCGCATTAAAGGGAACAGTTGTTGTTTTCAATGCAATTTTCTCTAACTTGTATACTTTCAACAGGGCCATTTAATATTAAAAGAGGACTAATGATGTTGTTGGGGAGGACAGATACAACTACTGATTGATTAGCTGCACAGGAGTCCTGTTGATTTTCCTGATTTATTCAAATCCCACAGGGAAGGTGATAAATTGTTGCTTTCACTCCCATTTTCTGTGGTCGCATTTGAAAATTAGCACTCAGTTGCACCAGAACCCACTCTGGTTTTTAAATTTAGAGCGCTGTTGGAATTCACGTTGGTTTGTTCAGGATATCACACATCTCCATCGAACGCTGATGATGTGTTTTTGCAGGGGTGGAGGCAGCCTAATGGTTAAGCATGCAGGGTTGTCGCTCAAGTTGCTAGCACTGCTGGGGAGGTGCAAGTTAAAAAGTAGTTTGCACTCCCTCGGTAAAAACGACAGATTCCTGTGAACCATGTCTCGACAAGTAGTAGACTGTGATTTCTTTGAATAGATTCTGGGTTTCAGTAGTTGCGAAGCAGCGTATGGCTGAAAAAGAACATACATATTTACATTAACATTCACTTGATAAATGACACTACATTTAGGAAACTCCACAGCAGTCGATATTAGCTTTTGTTACACCACATTTTACGTTGGCTTGTTACAGAAAAGGGATTATTTTCTTTTTTAACAGTTTTTCATAAAAACACTAATTACATCAATTTATAAATATCTGTGTTAGTCTCTGCCACATGAAATTGTTTTTTTTTCTCTGTAGAGAAATTAATCAGGAGAATTGTTTGCAACATGTCTCTGTAATGCTTTGTAAACAATATACTGTATGGATTTACTCTTCCTCTGCCTGTTTTATCACTGCTAAATTGCCCCTAAAGATCCACAAAACTGCAAGGTGACATGGCAATTTCAGTTCAGTAAATACAGATGTCTGTGCAACAAAGTTTGTAGAGATAATATGATACATTAATGTTGTGTAACAGTAGCAGGACAAGTTTTGAATCTAAATCTTTATTCATCTTTTCTAACTGGTAAATATGATTCATAAAAATGCATTTATAGATCACCATGTCCGGCAGAAACCGTCTATCTCCCATTATTCACATTCTCCTGACTTCAACTGATAGATGACATTGTCTTCCATGTGAAGAAAATGGTATATGATTGTGGCGCAACCAGCAGAAGAATAAAATGGATAGGTCGACAGATAAATAAGTGGAGTGAAAGAGGCAGAGAGGATAGCACCAGATGGAAACAAAAAGAATGGAGAATAATTGCACGTTTAGTCCTGTCACCAGCAGAGCGGTACACATCAACCATGGCATTCTCATGATACCGTTTGTGAGTATGTATGTGTGTCTGTGTCAGGTCTTAAGTGGCCCTCTGACTGTGTGAGCTGTTGATCGTTTCTCCAGGCTCTGACAGATTACACACACTCAAGTGTGCGCGCGCACACACACACACACACACACACACACACACACACACACACACACACACACCCATACATACACACAGTTTGTCTCTGACAGTATAACATTCAAGGACCACTGTCAACCCACCCTCTGCAATGCAGGGGGAAGACAGGGTGTGTACGGGAGAGTCCACCCAACATTTTGTCACATGGGAAATGGTGATTGCAACAACTGAAGCCTTTTGAAGTGACCATTCTAGTTTTAAATGACTGGCCCTAACATCCCTAAGCATTCACATTATAAAAACCCTAATACTACTACTAGGTTTGCAGTCTGCGCTTTGTTTTATGTAAATATGCCCCACAAAAACATAATTTTAACTACAGAAAAATACCAGTTGCGAAAATGTATTTCTACACAGTAAATAAATGAAAATGAAAAAATAAATAGATCACAGGAACATGCCTTGTTTTGTTTTGGGTGATTGATTAAAATATTTTAGTTGGCATATAAACACTACTATTAATTGAAATGAATTTCTTCAAATTATATTTGTGTACATGAGAATTAGAATTTATGTCTCCAAACTGAAATATATTACTGGTATTTTGTATATTATCCAAGGTTTACAATAAAATTTACTGATTTTAATATTCACTATTACATAACAATAACAGTGGTCATTTGTGATTAATTGTTTTTTTTTGTTTTTTTTTTTGGCTTTATTGTAGGTTACAGTGCAGATGCAGATGTAAAACAGAAAGGGAGAGAGAGAAGGGGCATACAGGAAAGGTCCCATGTTGGAATCGAAATGGAGATGTTGCAATTATACGGTTTGCATCTTAGTCGCCATAGGCCACCCAGGCGCCTTGTATATTTAATGAAAGTTCACTGATCCAGGCCAAAAACACTATAATTATATAAAAAAAATAACTTCAATGGGTTTCTGCCATGCACAATCTTACACAATCTCCTAAGTACTTTTCTCCAGAGGTGGGATTACGAGATGATTGACATTTTCACTGAGGCATGTGGGCAGGTCATTGTGAGAATGACTGACACCTGACAGCACCACTGTGACGGGTTCTTCCTGTTTACCGAGAGCTTTTTCTGATTGGCTGTCCCAAAAGCAATTTCCTGTTTCATGTTCCTGTCTGCTAGCTGGCAGGTTGAATGTCAGGTTGACTAGCTGTTACATATACACACACACCCACACACACACACACACATACACACACACATTCGTAACTAATTTTGTCTATTTTTTTATTTTTTAGTTAACTGGACGAAGTGAATGACTTGATTCCAGTTTGTCTGAATAGAATTATGGTCATATCATGTTATGTCAGACAGACATTTTATTTCTACAGAAGTAAATGTGTACCCTGCTTTTGGACCACTATTACTTTACCAACTTTAACTATTGTAACATTTCTCATAACCTTAGTCTAATTTGAAAGAGTATGTCTTAGAATAATCTTACAGGCAACTAACGTTCTAGGCTATAATGCTTTTAAACCTGCCCTCTGAGTGAGTTTAGATAAGCGAAATAGTGCACTTACTGGCTAATGTGAACTTTATTTCACCGGGATTATTTGTGAAACATAAAGAAGGCTATACAGAGGATGAGGTAGAGAATAAAGGCAGCCAACTGGGAGACAAAATAGGTGACAGAGATGGGGTCAGTGAGACAAAAAGAGAGATTTCATAAGACCTCTAGGCATTTGTGTTGCTGATTCCTGCTGTAGTCTAATGGCTTTACCACATTGTCTATTTAGCATATGAAATGTCAAGAGGTCACACAGCTGCTTCTGTATGCAGTTGAGGAGGTCATCAGTCCCTCTCAGTGCATATTTGCTCATGTTTTCCATGAATCAAGATGACAATGCTTATTAATCTTGGAAACAAGTCATTTGATTGGAAACCTAAGTTCAGAAAGAAGACTGGATGAGACACCTTGGATTTTTTATTTGTCTATTTCATTTATGTTACTTTAACTAACCTTACATGAATACATATTATGTATTAGTGTAACGTTTTGTTTATGTTATCTATATAATTAAATAAAAATGCTGACCGGTGACCCTGACATGGTGGTACTGTTGGGTCTCTGTAAATAATGTTATAAGGAGTTCGGTCTAGACCTGCTCTATTTGAAAAGTGTCCTGAGATAACTTCTGTTACAAATTGAATTGAAATCCTGAATTACCTTTAATTGCAGACCAAAATACCAAGTATAATACCATCGTTCCATACAGAATAGCATAGACAGGAATTCACAAGTATCTGAAGATAAACAGAGGAAACTTTCCTCATTGGTATTCTAATACACATGTTTCTTTCTGTGTACCAGGATTTTGGTGACCTGAATAGGAAGAACATATAAACAGCTTATTTCAAATAAAGGCTTTACAGGGAATATAGGTTTTATCTGTAATGTTGTTACAGCTATTATCTTTAAATCTGAACAGATTTTCTTTCTGATAACTTAAAGTGAGCTCTGTTTATCACTTTCATTAATATTTACAACAGGTATTCCCTGCTCTTAAACCCCTCTCCTCTTTTCCTAATGTCTGCTCTTCCACAGTTTTCTCCATCCTTCATTTTTCTATCTCTTTTTCCTCTATACTCTGCACTCCCTCTGGCTATCCCTTCTTCTTGTCTCTCTGTCCCTGCTTATTTCTCTCTTCCTTTCCTTTATCTCTGTATTTCAAAGCTCGAGACAAAACTGAAATGCTTAAAGCCCAACAGTGTTAGTCCTGTCATTTTCTTCAACTGAATGAATTCTTACTCTCCTAAAGGCCATTATATCCAAGGAGCACGACCAACAGCAATTAATCAAATTCTGTTCCTTATTGCTCACTACATTATTCACATTGATTTTAACCCAGTTGCCAGTGCTGAAAACTGAAGAATTTGCTGTAATGTATCATCACTATGGTAGTCAAGGATTTTTAATAAGCAGTGGTTTGTTATGCTGATTTAAAGAGGCTGATGGAATCTCTGAATTTTCACATTAAATGACGCCCTTCCCATCCTATCTCTTCCAGACTCCTAACTAAATGAAAGGCCCTAATTGCCAATTATTCCTTTAATTGAGTAACAGGGTCACTACACATAGTGTGATGAAACTGTTACCTACAATTCAGGTCTCCTTCCTGAATCCATGACACCTGCAAAAAGTTATTTGCCTGGTTTTGTGGGTCTCTACATGATAACCCTATGATGTTGTATGATAAACTAGCATTCAATCTGTTTTCCTTGTTATTGTTGGTCATTTCTGACATAGTTTGCTGATGCTACTTT